GCTGCACATCCTTCTAGTTGCTGTATGTGGGACTCGGCCTCAGGATGGACGGAGAAGTGGTGCCTTGATGCGCACCTGGGATCCGAACCCGGGCCACCAGCATTGCAGCGCGTGCACTTAACCACCAAGCCACAGGGCCGGCCCTTAAATTCGTACTTTTAATCAACCTAAAATATACTCTCTCTACTCCGTTTTTAAATATCTTCTTGGATTCTGGTTTCATAACAAGAGAAAAAAATCTATTGGTTTCTTTAAAGATTTGGGGGAGGTTGAAGGGAAAGAAATGATCATCTTATTGCTTATATTTGAGATATTCATAAATGCCTTAACAATGCTAATATGCAAGTCACAAAATTTAACTGATTAGAATACAAGGGCTTTTATAATCTCCTTTTTTTTTTTCCTTTTTTTTTCTCTTCCAGTTGGAATTTACATTTAGTGTCTCATTAAATAGTTCTTCTTCAAAGTTATGTTTCTGTAACAGATCCTGGTAAAGTTTACAAGATTAAGGCCTCTATACAATCTTCACTGATATCATCTAAAGATTTTGATTCTGCGTTTATTGATAAAATAAGTTTAGGTTTTAAGATTGTTCTATTGTGAGTGAAGAAGATAGATAGATAAATGGATAGATAGATACATACATACATACATATACACACACCTTTAGATAAAAAGCAATGAAACTTCTCCCAGAGAAGAAGTAAATCTATATACACAATTTGATGTACATATTCAAGCACTCACAGGTTTAACCCTTTCCACCTTGAAGAGCTCATCTAAAAAGATACCATTTCTTAACTGTGCTCACAAAGGAAATACACAGCTAAACTAAATGAGACTATTAGGGGCATCAGATTCTAATGACAGACCGACAGTAACTTGCAATGATTCGTGCTTAAGACAACTAAAAATGTGGAAAAAATACTATAAACATTGAGAAGCTAATAAGTGAGACATCCAGAAAAAGACAGAAATTCAGGAAAAATGACTATGACTTTGGGGTCACTTTTGCCAATGATGCATGTGCAAACCTGAACAGGTGACTGACAGATTGAGAAGCTCATTTCACAGTCTCACGAGTAAGAGAGGATGAAAGTAGGAATACAAAGCCTGGCAAGGGTCAACCAATTTAAACTTATTTTTTGGATCCCAAAGGCCTAGAAATAAGGCTAGACCAGAATTAAACCACCCTTGGTAGGGAATTCAGGCCTCGTTCAAGTCACCTATGTAACCAAGAAAAATTTTGAGCTTGGACAATGGATTAAGGTAATTTCATATTCTTCATGTTTCCAAATTTTTTGGTATGAGCAAAAAAATTATCATAGTAGGCTTCAAACTATTTCTTTCAATAATTTTCAATTCTAGTAACTGGAATAGAATGATAAACAGACACATGAAGAGACAAGACAACATGAACCAGATATAACACAATAAAAGATAATACAAATGAACCCACAGGCACTCAAGATAGTTGAATCACCAGACATAGACTTTAAATAACTATTTGTAATGTGCACATGGAAATTGCAAACAGAACTTAAATATTTCAGCAAGAAATTGCAAACTGTAAAGAGAGACATTTAAGACTTGAGAAACAGCTAGAAAATCTGGAGATTATGCATAACGTGAAAACCTCAGAACTCAAAGGAAGATTAGACATGGCTAAACACAGCATTACTTTTTTTTTTTAATAATTTTATTTATTTATTTTTTTCCCAAAGCCCCAGTAGATAGTTGTACATCATAGTTGCACATCCTTCCAGTTGCTGTATGTGGGACGCGGCCCCAGCATGGCCGGACAAGCGGTGTGTCGGTGTGCGCCCGGGATCCGAACCCGAGCCGCCAGCAGCGGAGCGTGCGCACTTAACCGCTAAGCCACAGGGCCAGCCCAACACAGCATTACTTAAGATCAGTTAAAAGAAACTGTGATGAATGAAGCAAGAAAAACCCGAAGGATAGAAAAAAGAGAAGACAGAATAAGAAGATGATAGACATACAGTATGAAATGAGAAAAATTCCACAAGATGAGAAAATAGCAGAAAAGCAATATTTGAAGAAATAAAGGCCTTTAGAATTGATGAAAGACACTGATTCCCACATTTAAAGAAGTCAACAGGTCTCAAGCAGAATGAATAAAAAGCAATCAACATTTAGACTCATCATAGTGACATTGCAGGAAAAAAGAAAAAATAATAATAAAGAGATCAACTTCAATAGAGCAAAAATAAGATGGATGAATGCCTTCTCAACAGCAACAATGAAAGCTAGAAGATGTTGAAATGATAGTGTCAAGGTGCTGATAAAAAGTGAATGCTAAATTAGAATCTTATTCTCAGCAAAATTATACCTCAAGAATTGAAGTGCAATCAAGACATTATCAGACAAGAAAAACTAAGAGAACATGACGTAAGCAGACTCTTACTTAAGGAAATACTAAAGGGTATTCTTAAAACAAAGGAAAATTACATTGTTTCCCTAAAGCCTTGCTAACAAAGTGTATTTTCAAACATTTAAAATCTTGCCAATCCAATAGCTGAGAAATGTTATCTCAGTTTTTTTTTTTTTGCTTTTTAATTATTTTATTGAGGTCACATTGGTTTATAACATTATGTAAATTTCAGGTGTACATTATTATATTTCAGCTTCTGTTTAGACTGCATCGTGTTCACCACTAAAAGTCTACTTTCCATCAATCATCATACATATGAGCTCTTTTACCCCTTTCGTCCTGCCCCCACCCACTTCCCTTCTGATAACTACCAATCTGTTCTCCTTATCTATGTGTTTGTTTGTTTATCTTCCATATATGAGTGAAATCATAGGGTGTTTGTCTTTCTCTATCTGACTTATTTTGCTTGGCATAAATACCCTCAAGGTCCACCTGAGTTATCACAAATGGCACAATTTTGTCTTTTTATGGCTAATATTCCATTGTGTATATATACCACATCTTCTTTATCCATTAAGCAGATGATGGGCACTTGGGTTGCTTCCAAGTCTTGGCTAATGTGAATAATGCTGCAATGAACATAGGGGTTCATATATCTTTTCAAATTAGTGTTTTCATATTCTTTGGATAAATACCCAGAAGTGGAATAGCTGGATCATATGGTATTTCTATTAATTTTTTCAGAAACCTGCATACTGTTTTCCATAGTGGCTGTACCAGTTTGCATTCCCACCAGCAGTGTGTGAGGGTTCCCTTTTCTCCACATTCTCTCCAACACTCGTTATTTCTTGTCTTTTTAGTAATAGCCATTCTGATGGTTGTGAGGTGATATCTCATTGTAGTTTTGATTTACATTTCCCTAATAATTAGTGATATTGAACATCTTTTCATGTGCCTGTTGGCCCTCTGTATATCTTCTTTGGAAAAATGTTCATATCCTCTGCCTATTTTTTGATCAGCCTGTTCGTTTTTTTTGTCATTGAGTTGTATGAGTTCTTTATATATTTTGGAGATTAACCCCTTGTGGGATATATGATTTGCAAATATTTTCTCCCACTTGGTGGGTTGTCTTTTCATTTGGGTGATTGTTTCCTTTGCCGTGCAGAAGCTTTTTGTTTGATGTAGTCCCATTTGTTTATTTTTTCTTTTGTTTCCCTTGCTTGAGGAGACACGGTATTCAAAAAGATACTGCTAAGACTAATATCAAACAGCATACTACCTATGTTTTCTTCTAGGAGTTTCATGGTTTCAGGTCTTACATTCAAGTCTTCAATCCATTTTGAGTTAATTTTTGTGTATGGTGTAAAATAATGGTCTACTTTCGTTCTTTTGCATGCAGCTGTCCAGTTTTCCCAATACCATTTATTGAAGAGAATTTCTTTCTCGTTATACATTCTTGGCTGCTTTTTCAAGATTGGCTGTCCATAGATGTGTGGTTTTATTTCTGGGCTTTCAGTTCTGTTCCATTGATCTGTGTGTCTTTTTTCCTGGCAGTACCATGCTGTTTTGATTACTATAGCTTTGTAGTATATTTTGAAGTCAGGGATTGTGGTGCCTCCAGCTTTTTCTCAGAACTGCTTTGGCTATTCAGGATCTTTTGTTATTCCACATAAATTTTAGGATTCTTTGTTCTATTTCCATGAAGAATGTCATTGGGATTCTGATTGGGATTGGGATTGCATTGAATCTGTAGATTGCTTTAGGTAATATGGACATTTTAAATATATTTATTCTTCCAATCCATGTGCATGGGATATCTTTCCATTTCTTTACGTCGTCTTTGGTATCTTTCAATAATGTCTTATAATTTTCAGTGTATAGGTCTTTCACCTCCTTGGTTAAATTTATTCCTAGATATTTTATTCTTTTTGTTGTGGTTGTAAATAGGATTGTATTCTTGACTTCTCTTTCTGCTAGTTCATTATTAATGTATAGAAATGC